TTACACCCAAACACAAAAGAATTTACCTTCTTCTCAGCACCTCATGGAACCTTCTCCAAAATAGACCATATAGTTGGTCACAAAGCAAGTCTCAACAGATACAAGAAGATTGAAATAATCCCTTGTATCCTGTCTGATCACCATGGAATACAGCTGGACCTCAACAAAAACAGAAATAGCAAAAAGCCTACACACACATGGAAACTGAACAACTTGCTACTACATGACAACTGGGCTAAGGAAGAAATAAAGAAAGAAATTAAAGTCTTCCTAGAATTAAATGAAAATGAAGATACAACATACCCAAACTTGTGGGACACAATGAAAGCAATGCTAAGAGGAAAGTTCATAGCACTAAGTGCCTTCAAGAAGAAATTCGAGACAGCTCATTCAAGCAACTTAATGGCTCACCTAAAAACCCTAGAAAAAGAAGTAGACACACCAAAAAGGAGTAGACAGCTGGAAATAACCAAACTCAGGGCTGAAATCAATCAATTAGAAACAAATAAAACAATTCAAAGAATCAATGAAACCAAAAGTTGGTTCTTTGAGAAAATCAACAAGATCGACAAACCCTTTGCCAAACTAACTAAAAGGCAGAGAGACACCATCCAAATCAACAAAATCAGAAATGAAAAGGGGGACATACCTACAGACACTGAGAAAATCCAAACAATCATTAGGACTTACTTCAAAAGTCTATACTCAACAAAATTTGAAAACCTAAATGAAATGGACAATTTTCTTGATCGATTTGACTTACCAAAGCTGAATCAGGACCAGGTAAATCAATTAAATAGTCCTATATCCTCCAAGGAAATAGAAGCAGCAATCGAAAGTCTCCCATCCAAAAAAAAGCCCAGGACCAGATGGTTTCAGCTCAGAATTCTACCAGACCTTCAAAGAAGAGCTAACACCAATTCTCCTCAAACTCTTCCACAAAATAGAAACAGAAGGAACATTACCAAACTCATTCTATGAAGCCACAGTCACCTTGGTACCTAAACCACCCGAAGACCTAACAAAGAAAGAGAATTTCAGGCCAATCTCCCTTATGAACATTGATGCAAATATACTCAACAAAATATTTGCAAACCGAATACAAGAATACATCAAAGATATCATCCACTATGACCAAGTAGGCTGGCTTCATCCCAGGTATGCAGGTTCAATATACAGAAATCCATCAATGTGATCCACCATATTAACAAACTGAAAGAAAAAAAACACATGATAATCTCCCTAGATGCTGAAAAAGCATTTGACAAAATCCAACATCCATTCATGTTTAAAGTATTGGAGAGATCAGGGATACAAGGCACATATCTAAATATAGTAAAGGTGATATACAGCAAGCCTACAGCCAACATCAAACTGAATGGAGAGAAACTTAAAGCAATCCCACTGAAATCAGGGACAAGACAAGGCTGCCCACACTCTCCATATCTCTTCAACATAGTTCTGGAAGTCCTGGCTAGAGCAATAAGACAGTTGAAGGAGATCAAGGGGATACAAATTGGAAAAGAAGAAGTCAAATTATCAGTATTTGCAGATGATATGATAGTATACATGAGTGACCCCAAAAACTCTACCAGGGAACTCCACAGCTGATAAACACCTTCAGCAATGTTGTCGGATACAAAATTAATTTAAAAAAATCAGTAGCCCTCCTATATACAAAAGACAAAAGGGCTGAGAGAGATATTAGGGAAACAACACCCTTCAAAATAGTCACAAATGACATAAAGTACCTTGGAGTAACCCTAACCAAGCAAATCAAAGATTTGTATGAAAAAAATTTCAAGTCTCTGAAGAAAGAATTAGAAGAAGATATGAGAAGATGGAAAGATCTCTCATGCTCATGGCTTGGCAGGATTAACATAGTAAAAATGGCCATCTTACCAAAAGCAATCTACAGATTCAATGCAATTCCCATCAAATTGCCAACACAATTCTTTACAGACCTAGAAAGAAAAATTCTCACCTTCATATGGAATAACAAGAAACCCAGAATTGCTAAAACAATCCTCTACAATAAAAGATCTTCAGGGGATATCTCCATCCCTGATCTTAAGTTGTACTATAGAGCAACAGTAATAAAAACTGCATGGTACTGGCATAGAAACAGAATGGTGGATCAGTGGAACCGAACACAGGACCCAGAGATAAACCCACACACTTATAAAAACCTGATCTTTGACAAAGATGCCAAAACCATACAATGGAGAAAAAACAGCATCTTCAACAAATGGTGCTGGTCCAACTGGATGTCTACATGTAGAAAAATGAAAATAGATCCATACTTATCACCCTGCACAAAACTGAAGTCCAAGTGGATCAAAGACCTCAACATAAAACCAGACACATTAAATCGGTTAGAAAAAAAAGTGGGAAATACCCTTGAACTCATTGTCACAGGAGACAACTTCCTGAACAGAACACCAACAGCACAGGCTCTAAGAGCAACAATCAATAAATGGGACCTCATGAAGCTGAAAAGCTTCTGTAAATCAAAGGATACTGTCATCAAAACAAAACCACTGTGCACAGATTGGGAAAGAATCTTCATTAACCCTCTATCTGATAGAGGACTAATATACAGTATATATAAAGAACTAAAGAAGCTGAAAAGCAGCAAACCAAGTAATCCAATTAAAAAATGGGGAACAGAGCTAAACAGAGAATTCTCTGTAGAGGAATATCGAATGGCAGAGAAGCACTTAAAGAAATGCTCAACCTCATTAGCCATTAGGGAAATGCAAATCAAAACAACCCTGAGATTTCACCCTATACCCATCAGAATGGCGTAGATGAAAAACTCAAGTGACAACACATGTTGGAGAGGTTGTGGAGAAAGAGGAACCCTCCTTCACTGCTGGTGGGAATGTAAACTTGTACAGCCACTCTTGAAAGCAATCTGGTACTTTCTCAAAGAGGAATAGCGCTTCCTCAAGACCCAGCCATACCACTCCTACGCATATATCCAAAAGAGGCTCAAGTACACAAAAAGGACATTTGCTCAACCATGTTTGTAGCAGCTTTATTTGTAATAGCCAGAAGCTGGAAACAGCCCAGATGCCCCTCAACTAAAGAATGGATGCAGAAATTGTGGTACATCTACAGAATGAAGTATTACTCAGCAATGAATAATAAGGAAATCACGAAATTTGTAGGTAAATGGTGGGACCTGTAAAGGATCATCCTGAGTGAGCTGTCCCAGAAGCAGAAAGACGCACATGGTATATACTCACTCATATAGACATAACATAATATACACCTACTAAAAACTATACATCTAAAGAAACTAAGCAAGAGAGATGACCCTGACTAAAATGCTCAGTCCCCATCCTGAAAGCCAAAGAAGCTGGATATCAGAAGAAGAAGAAAACAGGAAACAACCTAGGAACTTGCCAGAGGGCCTCTGAAAGACTCTGCCCTGCAGACAATCAAAGCAGATGCTGAGACTTATGGCTGACTGTTGGGCAGAGTGCATGGAATCTTATGTAAGAAGTGGGAAATAGTAAGAGCAGGAGAGGACAGAAACCATACAAGGAGAACAACAGAACCAGAAAACTTGAACACAGGGAACTCCCCAGAGACTCATACTCCAACCAAGGACTATTCATGGAGATAACCTAGAACCCCTGCACAGATGTAGCACATGATAGTTCAATGTCCAAGTGGGTTACATAGTAATGGGAAGAGGGACTGCCTCTGACATAATCTGATTGGCCTGCTCTTTGATCACCTCCCCTTGAGGGGGAAGCAGCCTTACCAGGCTATAGAAGATGACAATGCAGCCACTCCCGAAATGATCTGATAGACTAAGATCAGAAGGAAGGAGAAGAGGAACCCCCCCATCAGTGGACTTAGGGAGGGGCATGCATGAAGAAGGGAGAGGGAGGGTGGGATCAGAAGGGGAGGAGAGATGGGCTTATGAGGTTATACAAAATGAATAAAGTGTAAGTAATAGTAAAAAAAATAAAAATAAATTAAAAAGTCTACTTGTGGAGGAGGGAGAGGTTTACCGGGGGATACAAAGTGAATAAAGTGTAATTAATAAAAATAAAAATTAAAAAAACTATGACAAAAAAAGGTCTACTTGTTAAATTCCAGCAAGCAACTTTAAACTGTCACTGTTTTTAACTTCTCAATCCTGTCTTTAGGAATATTCTTCACAAAAAGGCACAGTTTTATCACAGCAATCTAAACATCATCTCTAAGGGAATGTTAGACATAAATCAGATGTGTCTAAAAGCAGGGATGATACGAAATCATTAAAATGAGACATCAGGAAGAAATTCTTATTAAAATGTGTTTTATAACATATGTATTACTTCAACTTCTACAAAAATACAATTACAAGGGCAAGCCTCCAAATGGTAATAAACCACTTTTCTATGTAAAGGTATTATTAGGTACCTATTCTCAAACCCCTTTTTTACTTTTTAAAAACATGTTATGTATTTATTTTTCACAAATCTCTGTGGTCAGTAGATTTAATTTTTATAATACTTTAGGGAATATATTTGCTGTTCTCGTTTGTAGATTTAAAAACAAAACTTCTCTGTGTGAATAAATGATTCTCCAGTTTTCTAGCAGATTTCATCAAACTAAACAAGAAGAAACGAAACCAGGCACAGCTATTAATCAAAATCTGTGTGCAGTCTGGTAAAGCAAAAGAGCAACAGGCTTTAGGTGGTGAGAGTGTAAGACACCTTGACATGTGGCCTGCAGAGGAACAAAAGTTACCTGTGTTAGAGTGAGAAAAAAAATGTCCGAACAAAAGGAAGAAACAGAAGAACTGAGAATAATAAATGTCAGTATCCTGGTTTCATTATGAAGTGAAAAAAATATTGAAAAAAAGAATAAAGTCAAGAGTCCAGCTATGGTTGTCAGTTGTTAAGTGGAAGACAAGAGGATGTTAGGCACCAAATCCAAGTGGATGAGGCACATGGGCATACAGATTCCTTGTGATGGTTTATACATCTGAAAGAAGGTATGCCCCAAGGGTGTTGCAGGTATGGCTGCTGTGTCACATGTGTGTCAGTGGGTGGCAGAGAGGAGAAGGGCTATGTCTGTGCCCAGTGTTCTGACCTGTGAGCATCTAAATGATTAGTAGCCTACCATCCCCTGAAAAACACCAAGCAGGAGGTGACTACTAGTCTGATGCCAGGAGACCTGGACATGGAACTAGCCTGAGATGACCACCAGTCCAGAAACATGCAGGCCTGGCAGCGGGGACAGACCATGCCCAAAATGACCACTACCCAGTGCCATAATGCATGGGCAAAGCTCTCCCAATTCCACTCCTGAGACGACTCTAGACACTCAGAGATCCAGGGCACCATGCAAAGGAGCAAGTAAGTGGTGGAGAAATGGAAAAGAGAAGCAGAAGAATGTGGGCACAATGAAGAGAGGCATAGAGACTCAAGGTTAGTTGAGTAGCTGATAGTAAGAGCTGGAGATGCCACCTGGGACAATGGTGAGGTCCTAGCCTGTGCTGGCATTGGGAGCCACATCTGGGTCCAAGGCCCTACAGTAGTAGCAGTCCGTTACCACCAAAGGCCATTACCCTGGTCTGGGCTGCCAAATGGGGACATGTGGATGTCTGAGAGCTATGCATAACTGGCTCCACCCCTCAGCTGGGAGTACTGAACCTGAAGGCATGACAGCAGGAAAGCTGCCCCTGCCCCTAGTAAGCTGTACTAACTGGGAGAGTAGGGCACCACACATCACCCCAAAAGCACAGTAGAGCTGGCCAGAGTTGTGGGAGTTGCAGTAAGCCGGCCCTGAAGGTATGTGTGTGGAAGAGCTGCCCCTGCTGCTAAGTGACCATATGGTGGCATGGGCGGGAGATACTCTCCTCTCCCCTCGCCACCTGCAGCAGGCAGCAGACATGGCTTTGGGGTCAAGAAAGCAGAGCTGGTCCTGTATGTAAGGGGTATGGATAAGCCTGTCCTAAAGAACATAAGCATGGGAGAGTTGGCCTTGCCTCTTGTCAACTGTGCTGTGGCAGAGATGAGGCACAGTTGTCCACTTGTCCCTTATCACCTGTGGCAGACAGAATAGCTGAATCAGGGGTCATGAGAGCTAGAGAGCTGTCCCTGTCCCTCACCAGCTGCAACACTCAGGAGAACAGGCCCTTCACCTTGCCTGGGCAATAGGGTAGAGTTGGCCCTGATGAGTTAAGAGTGGGGGAGCCATCCCAGCCCCTCACCTATTGCAGCACTTGGGAGAATGGGCCCTGTACCTCACTGGGGCAGAACAATAAAGCTGACATGGACATGGATGAGGCAGCCCCAAGAGCATGAAGAGGGAGATCTGGCTCTGTTTCTTGTTGGTTGTGGCATTGGATGGACCAGCCTGGACAGGGGAGGAGAACTTACGGGTTCTGGAGATCTGGCAGGCTTGACAGCTCAGATGCCTCTCAGGTCCAGATACAAGGCACTGAATTGGCCCACACCAATATTTGCCCCACTGATGAACTACTGAAGTACATGAAGAGATAGTTCCTACAGATCGAAAATTACAGGATCTCCATGACACAGAAAACAACAGGTATGCAAAAGGAGTCCTACTGAGGTTCCAGAGGCCTTGAACTAGACCAACAGCTCTTTGCAATTAACATTTGCAAGCAAAAGAGCATAGGCAAGAGAGTATACTGTGAGACGCTGTGACACACTAGAGCTTCCTTGAGATTTTGTTTTTCTCCATATTGGGGGAGGTTGCAAGGGTGGAGGACTAATTTGAGGGGAGGAGAGATAAGTGGGACTGGGTTTTATATTGTGAAATTCACAAAGAACCAATAAAAAGTTTTTTTTTAATTCAAATAAAAGAAAGAAAAAGGAGAGAAAGAGAATGAAGGGCAGGATAGGACACAGTAAAGATTATAAGTCCAGGCGGGGCAAGATGGCAGCGCCGGGAGGACTCTCATTCTGAGGAGCAGCACAGCAGGATTGGCACAGTGACCAGCAATCAGAACTCGCGGCCATAAAACACAAGTGGTTGTGTTTCTCAGGTGAGAGGATACCCCACGGTGGGGGATTCGATCAGCTTTAACTCACCCGGCAAAACCGCGGAAGAGATCCCCGTTCCGCCAGGTGCTTGGTCGCCAGCCCAGAGCTACCCGCCAGCGCGATCTGGTCACGGTCCCAGACTGAACTGTGGGCCCACAACACCATAGACTGGATTTCCCAGTCGAGAGATAACCCCACGGAGCAGGAAACAATTGGGACCGACCCCAGGTTACCCAGACATCCCCTGGAAAAGACTCGGGTTCCGCGGGTGCCCCAGGAGCCAGCCCGGACCCAGAGCCGGGAGGGACAAAGGCGCCTGCCTGCACAGAGCCCTGCCTGCGCGCGTGATTCGCCGCCTCAGATAGAACTGTGGGCACCAGGGCAACAGGGCACCAGACTGCGTGTCTCTGGCAGGAGGAAACCCCCAGCGGAGGGGGTCAGCAGCTCTAACGCTTAGGACACCCAGCACCAAAACACTTCCTGGACTCACGCAGACTCTAGTGCAGGCAGAAGCGCTGTGCTCTGCCGCCATTGTTGCGTTCCCCTGGGGCACTGGGACACACAGCTGCATCCTCGGACCTGCAGGAGTCGAAGAGCTATTACAGCAGCCCTCAGATACTGTGCCAGGGATCGGCCAGTTGTCCCTGGCTGGACTGCCAAAACTGTAGGAATCCCTGATCCTTCAGGGGGGCTGCACCCACAGCGTCTGGACCAGAGCAGTGCCTGTAGCCGCCATCCCAGACAGAGACACACAGCTTCTGGTCCAGAGTGAGGCACCCAGCCTCCAGACCAGAACAGTGCCCCCAGGTGCCAAATCAACCTAGGTGCACATTCTCCAGGTCCAGAGCAGAGCAATCAGCCTTTGGCCCAGAGACTTGCTGAGTGCACCTCCCACTTTCTCAGACAGAACTGTGCGCCCCAGGATAACAGACTGAGTTTCCCTGTTGGGAGAAAACCCCATAGCTAGGGAATCAGCAGTTTCTTCAAGAGGACTGTACATGGAAATTTAGTGAGCAGCAGCACACTAAATTTAAACAAGAAACCCAGCAGTGGGGCAGCTGTCTTGAGAAATTTTATGGGTAAGAGGAGATCCCCCCCTGCCTAACATAGACCACAGCTACTACTCAGGGCTATAAACCTGAGGTGAGCAGTGGCATCTCCGGAGAAACACTGGCCATACAGTGACCATAACCAAAAATCAGAGAAGGACTCCTTCAGGAAAAATCATCTTCCGGCCAAGGGGATACTCCCTACCTCAGGACTCCAGGAAGCACAGAAACTAACAGCCAAAACCTAAATCAGCCCAATGGGTAGAGGTCAGCGTAAAGGCTCAACCAACAAAAGACAGAGCAATATGGCATCTCCAGAACCCAGCCATCCAGGGGCGAACAGCCCTGAACAATGCAGCATAATAGAAAATCAAGAAGAGGACCTTACATCTATGTTGATGAAGAGGATAATAGAGGAGACAAATAAAATACGTAAAGAATTAGAGGAAGATAAAACCAAACAGATCATGGCTATCCGTAAAGAAATGGAGGAAGATAAAGACAAGCAAATTAGGGCCATCCGTGAAGAAATACGGGAAGATGCAGCCAAACAGCTTGTGGCCTTCAGAGAAGAAATAATTAAATCACTGAAAGAAATCAAAGAGACAGAGTTGAAGGAACTAAAAGAAAAAGAGGAAAATACAAGCAGACAGGTGAAGGAAGTAAACAAAACAACTCAAGACCTGAAGATAGAACTAGAAAAATTAAAGAAAACACAAATGGAGGAAATAATGGAGAGGAAGAATTTAGGGAAGAAAACAGGAACTACAGAGGTAAGCATAACCAACAGAATACAAGAAATGGAAGAAAGAATCTCAGGTGTAGAAGATACAATGGAAGAAATCGATGTATCTGTCAAAGAAAATGTTAAATCCAAAAAATTCCTGACACAGACCGTCCAAGAAATCCAAGACAATATGAAAAGACAAAATTTGAGAATAATAGGAATAGAGGAAAAAGAAGACTCCCTTCTCCAAGGCCCAGAAAATATTTTCAACAAAATCATTGAAGAAAATTTCCCCAAGTTAAAGGAGAAGCCAATAAGGATACATGAGGCCTACAGAACACCCAACAAATTTGACCAGAAAAGAAAATCCTCCCGCCACATAATAATCAAAACAGGAAGTATACAGAACAAAGAAAAAATACTAAAAGCTGCAAGGGAAAAAGGCCAAGTAACATATAATGGCAAACCCATTAGAATCACACCTGACTTTTCAACAGAAACTATGAAAGCCAGAAGGGCCTGGACAGATATCATGCAGACCCTAAGAGAACACAGATGTCAACCCAGGCTACTATACCCTGCAAAACTCTCAGTCCTCATAGACGGAGAAAACAAGATATTCAATGACAAAAACAAATTTCAACAATACCTACACACAAATCCAGCATTACAGAAGACACTGGAAGGGAAAATACAACCCAAGAAAATTAGCTTCTGTCAAGAAAACACAGGAAATAATTAACCTTACTACAGCAAAACAAAAAGCAACCAAGCACACAAACTTATGAACACAGCCAACATCAAAATCAAAGGATCTAACAGCCACTGGTCATTAATCTCTCTCAACATCAATGGACTCAACTCTCCAGTAAAAAGACACAGATTAACAGAATGGATACGTAAACAAAACCCAGCAATCTGTTGCATACAAGAAACACACCTAAGACACAAAGATAGACATTACCTGAGGGTAAAAGGTTGGAAGATGACTTTCCAAGCAAATGGACCCAAGAAACAAGCAGGAGTAGCCATTCTAATATCTGATAAAATAGACTTTCAACCAAAATTAATAAAAAGAGATGAGGAAGGACACTTCATACTCATCAAGGGAAAATTCCACCAGGAAGACATCACAATCCTGAACATCTATGCCCCAAATACAAGAGCACCCACATTTGTAAAAGAAACATTGATAAAATTTAAACCACATATAGATCCCCACACATTAATAGTGGGAGACTTCAACACCCCACTCTCAACAAAGGACAGGTCAACAAAACAGAAATTAAACAAAGAAACAATATCTCTGACAGAGGTCATGAATCAAATGGACCTC